GCAAATAATAGAGGTTTGTTATTGCAATTTGGCATGGACTGCACATTTCAAGAGGAAGACAGTAAACATTGTGGGAGAAGGATTTTTCTTTTTTTATTTAGATAAATAAAAATGTTGCATAAAATATGAATCAAGAAGAAGAAAGGTGATAAATGAAATACTTAATTTAAGCCTCATAATTTTAAATTAATCTAATTGTAGCAAATAATAGAGGTTTGTTATTGCAATTTGGCATGGACTGCACATTTCAAGAGGAAGACAGTAAACATTGTGGGAGAAGGATTTTTCTTTTTTTATTTAGATAAATAAAAATGTTGCATAAAATATGAATCAAGAAGAAGAAAGGTGATAAATGAAATACTTAATTTAAGCCTCATAATTTTAAATTAATCTAATTGTAACATCACTGGTGGTAACATTAATTTACAAACTCACTGGTAACCAAAATTTCAGAAAGAATCTTGTGTAACATACGTTCAGGTAAAGCAGTCATTCAGCGATGCCAATCAACTTTCTCCCTAAAATCAAACTACAAAGTCTAGAAAAAAATGAACCTTGTGTAAGATTGAAGGAGAGAACAATATCAAACACCCCTTTCATTAGGCTGTGGAAATCTATTCTACTCTGGGTATAAGGGCAGTCTATAACCCTTAAGCCTTCAGTCCGATCTCTGCAAACCACCGCAAACCAGGAGCAACTCCCTTGAGGTTCAGAGTGACAGTCAGCATAAATGACACCTGACTCAGTCCCACACTCTGTTGCATTGTTGGCTGCTAAAATGAGTGCAGCATTGTCAATACTAAAAATTATACAGTGTATTTTAAAGGTCAATAGATAAAAATATTTGGAACCTTTACTCATGAATATATTTAATTTGCTATTGCAAATTATTTCGATTATGTTTCACATAATACATAGCTGCTTCTCTTTTTGCAATTAAAGATTCCTAATAATACAGTCAACCCTTCTTAATCATTGTTCATTCTAGCATAAAGTAAATCTTGCTGTGTTTGAAGAGAACCAAGTCAATTCAACAGCATCCATTTTTTCTGTTCCTTTTTATTTCATAAGATTAGAATAGTTAATAGACTTTACCATATTTGGCTGGCAGTGGATGTGCGAAGCAGAATAAAATTTGCTCAGTGGATTATATGTGCGGGACAGAACTCAGTTGTGTAATTACATTTGGTTCTGTTGCTTAGGTTCACATGAAAAGGAAAAATTAGCAATTCCTTTACTGAAGGTTTCCCTGGAGAACAGTATACAATAAAACATGGTCACAAACAGAATGATTATCTGAATGATTGCCCAAATCACTGATTTCTCTTATTTAAGGCACGTTAGGGGGTAGGAGAATTCAGTGAACAACAGTTATCTTCCAGATGACAAATTATAAAGGTACTGATGTCCTGGCTACAATGCAAAAATACACATCCATGAGGGTATGCTTTAACTATTCACTACCTTTATTTTCTTGCAAGCCATAAAGTGACTATAAAATAAGCAAGAGTGATTATTTCTGACAAACGTGGTACCAGGGTCAAGTTAAATCCAGCTGTTTAAAGAAATATAAAATGTATTGCAATACAATATACATTATATTTATAAGAGTCACAAAAAGGAAGCTAGGATGTTGGATATAAGACCAGGCTTGTGCTTCTTTGCCAATGTGGGGGGTCAATGTATTCATATGCTAGATAGTCTCCATCTCCCAGGAATGCTACCATATAAAGGATACAAACTGGTAAAGTGTTAGAGAAGAAACAGGCAACCCAGGAATGGGTGCGGTAGAAAGGACAACTTTATTGCCTACGCACGTTTACCTCGGACATTCAACACAATGTCGGAGTGGCAACAAACTGGTGTTAATCACACCCTTTTATCTTTTTTAGTACGTTAATTCACGTCTATCACTACTTTTCCTAAAGCTTTATTTAGTAATGTTAACTCCCATGAAATGAATATTAATAAGCACATAATGAATACAATTATACACGCCCCTAATTACTATTTACAGAATTTCTAATTGAATCAACACTACCTATGCTACAAACTAACAGGGTCAGAGAGAGATTACAGGAGATTTCAAACCTGAAGATGTTTTATGCAGAGCCAATGAGGATAAGCAAAAAACACAACAAAGTTAAGCTGCATGGTTTATCTATTTTTCAAGGCTGCCAGGACAAAGGGGAAAAACATGTTTGAAGGGCAATGGCAATGCCTTTTCTGGCTAGACCCCTTACCCATTAATGTTGAGCCATTTCAGACCTAGTAATTTGTACACACCCCAACATAAAGCGTTAATGGCAGGATAAAGAAAACCAAGAAAGTCAAAGGACATGGCAAAAAAAAAAAAGTGCAAAAGAAGAGAAAGGCCAATCAAAATAACTGAAATGAAAAACAGGACTATGCAGCACTTGTCTTTTGTTTCAGCTAGACCAGAATAACACAGCTACATCTCTATTACCATTGAAATGAAAAATGTATTTTAAAACAAGCTCTGGTTCTGACCACCATGATGATGTGGTGTAGAAACAGGAAAGTACACATATGTAATAATGTTTTGCTCTGAGACAGTGTTCTAATTGTCTCCAAATGCTTGGGAAAATTAATTATTCCCTGTACATGTAAAGGCAGGGGAGCTGACAGCCTTGCTGGTGCCCCTTGGCAAGGTGTGGGGGGAAGCCTCCATGCTCCCCACAGGGCAGGGCTTCTAGCAGAAGGGATGGGGCCAGGGCAGCCAGCCTTCACCACCATATGGACCACAGCCTCCTTCCCCCCAGCTCACAATGGCAATTTAAAGGCCCCAGGGCTCAGTAGCAGTGGCAGTGGTCAGCAGTCCTAGGCCCCAAAGGACTGTCATCAAGCCTGTGTAAGGGCCACAAGTATCCTTACTTTTCAGATAGGAAGCTCAGAGACTGAGGAAAAAAATTAAGACCTTTTCCTAACTTGGGGTATGTCTACACTACCCCCCTAGTTCGAACTAAGGGGGGTAATGTAGTCATACGGAGTTGCAAATGAAGCCCGGGATTTGAATTTCCCGGGCTTCATTTGCATAAAGCCGGCCGGTGCCATTTTTAAATGCCAGCTAGTTCGGACCCCGTGTCGCGTGGCTACACGTGGCACAGACTAGCTAGTTCGGATTAGGCTTCCTAATCTGAACTAGCTGTACGCCTCGTGGAACGTGGAATGAGGCATACAGCTAGTTCGGATTAGGAAGCCTAATCCG